GGTCAGGAAACGATCACGCATACTCGAGTTCGACTATCACTCCCTCCAGGAAATACACGACGCCGCTGTTCTGGTTACTGATGGATTAATTCTTCTACTAAATTCTCCACCGTCATCAATCCACCGTCAAACTGTTTAAATATATTTCAACACATGCACAAAAACACAAGTTGGCGTTCACGTTACAGAAACCTTGCACGTAAATATGCGCGACAAATAATTAACATAATGAACACACCTCGCTGGCTGCACACAACTGAGAGGGAAATGGGTCCACTTAGAAACAAGAATACTTGTAAATAAACACGTCGTTAATTTAACTTATCTTTCAGAGTACTAAACTTTACCCGCCGCTACTTTACCGCGATGTCTGGAACTTGTCACCACTAAAAGCGTCCCAACACAACATAGAATGTACAGATAGTTCCTATCACATAAATACAAGCAAAATCAATATTCAAAATACAAGTTGTACAAATAATAATGATATTGTAACGACCCTGTATTGTGTTCTGTGTTCATGGGTGTGTTATCATTCTCATGGGTGCTAGCAGGGGTTAAATATGCCAGGACAGATGGAAAGGTTGGGGGGGTATGATGGGTAATCCTGCTGGGTTTTGGAATGCTTAAATAGGGGTTACGGTCTCATCTCTCTCTCTTCTGTTCGGGACCCTTGATTTGACATGTTATATTTGTGTATGTTCGAGGTTTAGCGGCGTGGGCTGTGGCCTGAACAATAGCCCATTCAGGAATAAACCTGTGTTCTGCCTGTACACCTGGTGCCCGTCTCTCTTTTACTTTATGACCCAGCTGGGTCATTACATTGGTGTCAGAAGTGCTTTCGAACGACGGGATAGATCGAGATTAGGCGAGTTAGCTGTTTCAGTATAGGCCGTGGTTAGCTTTAGCGTGACTCGCATCTACGGTCATGATGATCGGGGCGAGGCGGAAAGTTAAGGAAGAGTCGGACAAAGTGTCCGTTGTGGGCTCGGGTGTACCCGGTCGGGAGGGTCAGGCGATGATGGCTGTAGAAGAGCTGGAGAGCCACATGGCGGAAGTTAAATTGTCAGTCAGCAAGATGGCAGAACGGGCGGGTTTTCCTTCAAACCGCTCGACCAGAACAGACGTCACGGCGACAGAGATATCGACGTCACCGCGTGCGGAAATGGCTGGGCCTCCTTATGTAAACAGAGATGGCAGCGCCCTATTGCCATTAGCCACGGTAGCGGCTAAACTTCCAAAGTTCAATGGACAAGGTAAATGGGAAGTTTTTTTCACTCAATTCGAGTTGTTGGCTAGAGCCGGGAGGTGGTCTGACGAGACGAAAGGGTTACAGCTTGCCCTGAGCCTGGCAGAGGAGGCGTCGGAATGCCTGCTAACGCTAGCCCCGGACGAGAGGGGCGACTACGGTGCGCTAGTGGAGGCATTGGGGGGCCGTTTCGGCAGCGATGCACAGCCCAACATGCTGCGGATTGAACTGAATAACAAAAAGAGACTTCAGGGGGAATCATTAAAGGCGTTGGCAAGTGATATTCTGAGCCTGACCAGGCGGGCTTATGCAACTATGCCGATTGGGGTGCAAGACGAGCTGGCACGGGACAGTTTTATTAGAGCGCTCTCCCCCACCGAACTGGGTAAGCATGTTCAGATGTCGGACCCAGCATCTCTGCGGGCTGCAGTGGAGATAGCCAGGAAGAGGGAGCTGATCTGGGGTGAGGGAGTGAGAGTGGAGGTTGCCAGTCAACCAGAGGTGAGAGCAGCGGCGGCCGGGGTGCCGGAAATCAGATTCTAGTACCTTAATTACTAGAAATCAGATTCTAGTACCTTAATTACATCATTTGGACTGATCATTTCCTTGATCTGAGTCTTGCAAACATAGTGAACTTCACCTTTGAGCTTGATTGTTGGTTTGGGTTCAGGTGTCACTTTCCTTACAATGATGCGGTGACTTACTCCAATTGCATCACTGTAGTGCTCTTGTGGGTCACCATAACTCACTATGCTCCAACCTAGATCAGTTCTCTGAGCAAAGGGTTCGTTTTCTTCTCCACATACGACTTCTCTGGGCATTAGCGCTTGTGGGCAATTGTATCCGATTAGCAGACCAATTTCACATTCCTTTGGCGGTGCAATGTGTTCTGCAAGATGCTCCAAATGAGGCCATGCTTTAGCGGTCTCTGAAGTTGGAATGTGTGTCCGATTGGCAGGGATAAATTCACGAGTGTACGTTGTTGGCACTGTGATCTTCTTAGAGGAGAATAGACCTCTTATTTGTAGGTATTTGAGTATTTTACAGGGTACAATTGTCCTTTTTGACGACATTGTAGATAGTTTCAGCTTCACTTGTTCCGTGTTCGTATCTAGAATGTTTGCTACTTCCTCAAGAATGAAGGAAGAATCACTTTGTGAATCTAGCAGAGCATAGACAAGAACTTCCTTACTTGAATCACTTTGCGTTGACACATAGACAGGTACTATCGCTGAAGTCTGTGTAGTATTGCCATCTTGCACAACTCTGTTGGATGTGGTTTCCTTGATAACCTCTTGTGTTGACAGTAGCTTTCTTTCCTTGCCATAACTTATGTCTTTAGATGTTTCCCCTTTTGGTTCTTGTTTTGAGCGATCTTCGTGTAGGCATGTGGGATGACGTTTTGAGCAGGTGTCACAGACCATCCGGCTACTGCAGCTCTTAGATTGATGGCCAGGACTTAAACATCCGAAGCACAGTCTTTCATTCTGAATGAACTTGACTCGTTCGGCGACTGTCCTTTCAATGAATTTGAAGCACTTGTGTATACTGTGTCCTAATTTCTTACATAACACACATGTGACTATGTTTCTCTCACTGATGTTAGTTGTGAAGATCTTGGCACCTACAGTTTGGTTCTTGATCTTTGCTTTATCAGGTTCACTTTGTCGTAATGCGTTGTAGGATGTTATAGGGTTGCACGCAATACTAGCTTCCATCGACAGGAATGTCACAAAATAGTTAAAGCTTGGGAACCTTCTGTGTTCCAGTTGGTATTGTGTGGCCCTTCGGTTCCATCTGCTACTTAACCAGTCGGGTAGTTTGGCAGCTAGTTTTTGATTCTCAATATCATCATTAAGAACCTTTAGACTCTCATTGTGAGCAATAGCGAATTCACAACTACGTAGAAAGTCTACAAATTTTCTTAAGTCTGCACTCTCCTTAGGAGCTAGTTTTGGCCAAGCATGTAATTTGTCTCGGAAGGCCTTGGCAATCACAAACGGCTCACCATAACGTTCCTTGAGCAGGTCCCATGCTGCATGATATGAATCTTCTGAATCGATCAGAAAATAACCTTCTACTGCTTCTTTAGCTGCTCCTCCCACATATTTCTGAAGGAAGAAGATTTTCTCTGCAGCTGGAATATTTTTTCTCTCAATCAGTGTCTGAAACGAAGACTTCCAATGGTTAAACTTGAGTGGATCCCCACTAAAAATTGTAGGCTCTGGAATGGGAAGCCTATTTGCTGATATAGCCTCAGCCAGGACTTTCACAAGCTCTCTTGTGTCGTTTTGACGCACACTTCTTGGAGCCACATCCCTTAGTGGTTGTGGGTGCTGATACACAGGATTCACCTGATCAATTGGTTGCTCAAATGTAGGCAGCTCAGACTTATGTGGAGTAAGCCTTTGGTCTGGATACAACTCATTTTCGTCATAGACTTGAAGCCTTGCTCTGGCCGCGTTCAGTCTTTTTATCTCCTCTAAACGTCCAAGCTCTCTTTTTAAGTCTTCTACAGATCTTTTCCTTGCAGCATTCTCTTCTTGCTGTTTCTTTAAGAGCAAAGCTTCTTGTCTCTCCTTTTCTATCTTACGTTCAGTCTCTTCTCTTTCGCCTTGAAGACGACGAGTTACTGCAGCTACTTCTTGCTCTGCAACTATCTTCTTGTCCTCAACTTCAAGTCTTTGGAGTTTCTCTTGGTGGCACTCTTGCTCAGCCATAATCTTCAACACAGCCTTTGTGGCTGCATACTCAGCAGCGGCTTCTTGTCGTTTAACTGAGGATACATTAGAGCGAATGGAAGTGGCCTTAGAAGACTTAAAGTCTGGAGATGACACACTGGAAATCATAGATGCGAATACGGAGCTTGCATCCGGCCAAATCAGTTCCTCCTTTGTTCCTTGAATTTGAGATTGCGCGTTGTGTACAACAATCTTGGTGACTGATATACATTTATCCAGCTTGCGGCGCATCTCGTGAGCTGGGCTGTCAATCCTGCGATATTCTTCATAAACATTATTCAGTTCAGATAACTCTCTTTGAATAGTGCTGCTGTGTTCGTGTAGGATGTTGCTTGGATCTTGTTTTGTAACTGATTTCTTAGCCACCTTAGTTAAAACTTTCCAGCGTTCATAAATGCTGTCAAAACGAATTAGTAGTTATTTTGTTTTTCTTTCTGAAATTCTTTTCCCTTTTCCGTTAATGTACGGGCTCTTCCACTCTGTCGAGGCTCTTCAGACTGTACTGCTTCTTGTACAACGCTAGACTCATCTGTCTGCTCTGTCTCTTCTACTGGCTCTACGAGTGATCCTTTACACTGACTCTCTTTACTTCTATGTGACATATTAACTTATTTGAAAGTAACCTGTACACAAGACAGTTGTCTTAAATAAACAGTAGAGTTTACAACAAACATTTTACAAAAAGAAATACTCAAGAGAATAGAATATGCTAAGTTAAGTTATTGTTTTTGAAATTAACCCTTCAGAATAAAGGCAGGCATTATAAAGATTTTGAAATGTTGCAGAATCACTCAAAATAACAGCTTTCTTAAATGCACAAACATAAATCCTCTTCTTAAGTAAATCAATGACTTATATTCAATGAAATAAAGAATTATCAATATCGCTAAATCACTTACATTAATGTCTCTTAATATCTTGTTACACACTGTTATGTTACTTGGCTACACACAGCCCTTTGAAGTCCTTTATATTTTCCAATCCTTGTGTCACCTTTTCAGAACACAAACTTAAGTGTCTGACTTACGGACGTCTTCATGAAAAAAATGAATGAAGATGAACTTGTGTGAGTCCTTTAACACTGAACAGTGGCTTATCTGTGAGTCCGTCTTGACGAGCCGTCTTGCAAAGCAGGTCAGGAAACGATCACGCATACTCGAGTTCGACTATCACTCCCTCCAGGAAATACACGACGCCGCTGTTCTGGTTACTGATGGATTAATTCTTCTACTAAATTCTCCACCGTCATCAATCCACCGTCAAACTGTTTAAATATATTTCAACACATGCACAAAAACACAAGTTGGCGTTCACGTTACAGAAACCTTGCACATAAATATGCGCGACAAATAATTAACATAATGAACACACCTCGCTGGCTGCACACAACTGAGAGGGAAATGGGTCCACTTAGAAACAAGAATACTTGTAAATAAACACGTCGTTAATTTAACTTATCTTTCAGAGTACTAAACTTTACCGCCGCTACTTTACCGCGATGTCTGGAACTTGTCACCACTAAAAGCGTCCCAACACAACATAGAATGTACAGATAGTTCCTATCACATAAATACAAGCAAAATCAATATTCAAAATACAAGTTGTACAAATAATAATGATATTGTAACGACCCTGTATTGTGTTCTGTGTTCATGGGTGTGTTATCATTCTCATGGGTGCTAGCAGGGGTTAAATATGCCAGGACAGATGGAAAGGTTGGGGGGGTATGATGGGTAATCCCGCTGGGTTTTGGAATGCTTAAATAGGGGTTACGGTCTCATCTCTCTCTCTTCTGTTCGGGACCCTTGATTTGACATGTTATATTTGTGTATGTTCGAGGTTTAGCGGCGTGGGCTGTGGCCTGAACAATAGCCCATTCAGGAATAAACCTGTGTTCTGCCTGTACACCTGGTGCCCGTCTCTCTTTTACTTTATGACCCAGCTGGGTCATTACATTGGTGTCAGAAGTGCTTTCGAACGACGGGATAGATCGAGATTAGGCGAGTTAGCTGTTTCAGTATAGGCCGTGGTTAGCTTTAGCGTGACTCGCATCTACGGTCATGATGATCGGGGCGAGGCGGAAAGTTAAGGAAGAGTCGGACAAAGTGTCCGTTGTGGGCTCGGGTGTACCCGGTCGGGAGGGTCAGGCGATGATGGCTGTAGAAGAGCTGGAGAGCCACATGGCGGAAGTTAAATTGTCAGTCAGCAAGATGGCAGAACGGGCGGGTTTTCCTTCAAACCGCTCGACCAGAACAGACGTCACGGCGACAGAGATATCGACGTCACCGCGTGCGGAAATGGCTGGGCCTCCTTATGTAAACAGAGATGGCAGCGCCCTATTGCCATTAGCCACGGTAGCGGCTAAACTTCCAAAGTTCAATGGACAAGGTAAATGGGAAGTTTTTTTCACTCAATTCGAGTTGTTGGCTAGAGCCGGGAGGTGGTCTGACGAGACGAAAGGGTTACAGCTTGCCCTGAGCCTGGCAGAGGAGGCGTCGGAATGCCTGCTAACGCTAGCCCCGGACGAGAGGGGCGACTACGGTGCGCTAGTGGAGGCATTGGGGGGCCGTTTCGGCAGCGATGCACAGCCCAACATGCTGCGGATTGAACTGAATAACAAAAAGAGACTTCAGGGGGAATCATTAAAGGCGTTGGCAAGTGATATTCTGAGCCTGACCAGGCGGGCTTATGCAACTATGCCGATTGGGGTGCAAGACGAGCTGGCACGGGACAGTTTTATTAGAGCGCTCTCCCCCACCGAACTGGGTAAGCATGTTCAAATGTCGGACCCAGCATCTCTGCGGGCTGCAGTGGAGATAGCCAGGAAGAGGGAGCTGATCTGGGGTGAGGGAGTGAGAGTGGAGGTTGCCAGTCAACCAGAGGTGAGAGCAGCGGCGGCCGGGGTGCCGGGGGTCACCAAACCAGAGTGGGTCGACGAGTTGGGCGGGTTAGTCAAGACCGCTTCGCTTGTCATTGAGAGGGACTTTTTGAAAAACTGTGGGGCTCAGTTGGACTTAGCTTCGGGCACTTTGAGGCTGTCGGGGGGGCCCACAGTGGGAATGTCGCCTTCGGGAGGGCCAGCAGGGGGCAGGGCTGTCCCTCCGTCTTCCTCCAAGCTTGCCGAAACTCCACTGGTCGTCCCGGCTGCTCCCTTGGTCGTTGTGCCATCCCAGCAGCTGTCTCCGGCGGCAACGACCTTCACTCCCCATAATGGTGCAAGCACAGGCATCCCAGTAGCCCAAAACACACTGGCTCCTTCACCCCATCAGCCCGACGGGGGGAAGGAGGAAGTTATCGACGCCGTTGAGGCTGTGTGGCTGAAAAACTGTCAAGGTCTGGACGAGAGACAACAGAGACAGTTAAAGCAGCTGCTGTTTGACTTTAAAGATAGCTTCGCTTGGGGGGAAGATGAGGTAGGGCAAACGCACCTGGTTCAGCACGACATCGACACTGGGGACAACCAACCCATTAAAATTCGGCCCCGTCGCATTCCCCTTGCCAAGAGGGAAGCAGCAGCCACAGCTATTGCTGACATGTTGCGGGCTGATTTCATTGAGCCATCAGATAGCCCATGGTCCGCGCCGGTCGTCATGGTGCCTAAGAAAGGGGGGTAAACTTAGGTTTTGTGCGGACTACAGGGGCCTAAATTCTGTCACCACTAAAGACTCTTACCCCATACCGAGGATCGATGAGTCGCTAGACCACGTCAGAGGGTCCTCGTGGTTCTCTTCCCTTGATCTGCGCAGTGGCTACTGGCAGGTGCCCCACTCGCCTGGGGCACGTGAAAAAAACGGCCTTCTCCACGGATAGGGGCCATTGGCAGTTCAAGGTGCGGGGCTTCGGGCTTTGTAATGCTCCTGCCACCTTTGAGAGGCTCATGGACAGAGTGCTGGCTGGGGTTCCGAGAGACGAGTGTGTCGTGTACCTAGACGACATATTGGTACACGGCACGTCGTTTGAGGGGGCACTGGGGGCACTTAGGCGAGTGCTGGAGAGGATCTCGGGGGCGGGGCTAAAATTACACCCGGAAAAGTGCCATTTCATGCAAAGGGAGTTGGCGTTCCTGGGTCATCAGCTGGGTGGTGAGGGTATCAGCACGATGCCAGACAAAGTGGAGGCTGTGAGGGGGTGGCCAATTCCAAGGGGAAAAAAAGAGGTTAAGAGCTTCCTGGGTCTGGCATCCTACTATCGTAGGTTTGTGAAAGGGTTTGCGGGGATAGCAGCTCCTTTGAACCACCTTCTCAAGAAGGACACTGTTTTTCAGTGGACCGAAGAGCACCAGCGGGCGTTTGAGGCCCTCAAATGTGCCCTGGTGGAGGCCCCTGTCCTGTCCTCACCAGACCCGAACCGTCCGTTTATCCTGGACACCGACGCAAGCAATGAGGGCTTGGGGGCCGTGCTGGCTCAGCGTGGTTCTGACGGGGAGCACATAGTAGCTTATTACAGCAGAACTTTTGATAAGGCTGAAAAACGCTACTGCGTGACAAGGAGGGAGCTTTTGGCTGTCGTGGCAGCAGTACGCCATTTCAAGTACTACCTGGGGGGCCTGCCGTTTGTGGTGCGGACGGATCACTCCGCCCTGCAGTGGCTTCTCTCCTTCAAGGAGCCAGAGGGTCAGATCGCCCGCTGGTTGGAGGAGCTGCAACCCTACGACTTCCAGGTGGAGCACAGGGCCGGCCTTCGCCACAGCAATGCAGACGCCTTGTCCCGCCGCCCGTGTGCTGAGGACGGCTGTGGGTACTGCGCCAAACGGGTGGAGCGAGAGAGGGAACTGTGCATGGAGGAGGGAGTCACCGCCACGGTGAGTCAGCTGAGGGTGACAGAGTGCCGGGAGCTTGAGGCTGTGGACGTCGGGGAGTGGAGGCGTCGCCAGGAGGAGGACGCAGAGCTGCGTCCTGTGCTGGGGTGGGTGGAAGAGAGAAGACGACCGCCATGGGGGGAAGTAGCCCCTCTATCACCAGTCACCAAAGGACTCTGGGCTAAATTCTCAGTCCTTAGAGTGGCTGAGGGAGTGCTCCAGAGGGGGTGGAAAAAGCCAGCTACTGGAGAAATGACGTGGCAGGTAGTGGTTCCCAAAAGGCTGCAAGGGAGCGTGTTACAGCAGCTTCACGGGGGAGTAGGCGCAGGGCATTTTGGGGTCTCCAAAACGTTAAAGCGCGTACGTAAAGGCTTCTATTGGGCCAGGCACAGGAGGGATGTGGAGGACTTTTGCAGGCAGTGCGATGAGTGTGCTGCTAAGAAAGGACCCCCAGGTCAGTCACACGCCCTCCTACAACAATTCCCAGTAGGGGAGCCCATGGAGAGACTGGGGGTAGACATAGTTGGACCGTTTCCAACCACAGACAGCGGTAACAGGTGGATTCTAACTGCTATGGACTACTTCACCAAGTGACCAGAGGCTTACGCTCTCCCAGACCAGGAGGCAGAAACAGTATCTGATGCATTGGTAGGGGGAATAATCAGTCGGTTCGGGGTGCCACAGTCTATACACAGCGACCAGGGGAGAAACTTTGAGTCACGGGTGTTCTCAGAGTTGTGTAGACGGTTAGGCGCGGAGAAGACGCGCACTACTCCGCTTCACCCCCAGAGTGATGGGCTGGTGGAAAGATTTAACAGAACATTAGCACAACAGCTGGCTATCGTTACCTCAAAACACCAGAGAGATTGGGACACCCACTTACCGTTTATTCTTATGGCATGTAGGTCGGCTGTTCAAGAATCGACTGCGTGCTCCCCAGCGCTACTAATGTTAGGTCGTGAGTTGCGCACCCCAGCCGAACTGACGTTTGGCCACCCTCCTGATAACGACGACGGGGTTTTGCCTGGCCCGAACTATGTTCGTCGTCTGCAGAACCGGTTAGAAGCGGCTCACACCTTCGCAAGAGAGCAACTCGAGAACGCAGGAATGCGCCAAAAGCGCCACTATGACTCACGCGCTAGGGGGAGGCACTTTGGAGCGGGAGAACGCGTGTGGCTTCACAACCCCACGCGCAAGAAGGGGCGGTGCCCAAAGCTGGACAGTGCCTGGGTGGGGCCGTGCCTGGTGATAGAGAGAGTGGGGGAGGTGACGTACCGGGTGGAGGTTCCCCCACGGAGCAGGAAGGTGGTGGTCCACCGGGACCGATTGGCGCCCTACAGAGGGAGGAAAACGGTAGGGAATGGAAGTGAGGACTCTGATGTGAGCACACGGGGACAGTCTAGCGAGGAGACTCTAGTGCAAGCTGAGCCTGGGACGGGGGCTGCCTCTTCGGAGGGCGCTGGAAATGACATTGGGGCAGATGAGTGTTCTGGGGGTCCACCAGTGAGAGTCAAGGGGAGGCACAAGAGACTGATGCGACCTCTGGGTCGTTTTAAGGATTTTGTTTTGTAACCCTAGGTGCTAGGGTTTAGAAAGGGGGGGGCTATGTAACGACCCTGTATTGTGTTCTGTGTTCATGGGTGTGTTATCGTTCTCATGGGTGCTAGCAGGGGTTAAATATGCCAGGACAGATGGAAAGGTTGGGGGGGTATGATGGGTAATCCCGCGGGGTTTTGGAATGCTTAAATAGGGGTTACGGTCTCATCTCTCTCTCTTCTGTTCGGGACCCTTGATTTGACATGTTATATTTGTGTATGTTCGAGGTTTAGCGGCGTGGGCTGTGGCCTGAACAATAGCCCATTCAGGAATAAACCTGTGTTCTGCCTGTACACCTGGTGCCCGTCTCTCTTTTACTTTATGACCCAGCTGGGTCATTACAAGCAAAATCAATATTCAAAATACAAGTTGTACAAATAATAATGATATTATGTAAAACCTATTAATAATGACATGAATAACATTAATAATGACATGAATAACATTTATGGCAGTTAAAGTATGTTCTGTTATTGTGAAGTGGAAACGTCTTAGGAGCAACAACGGCTCAGCCTCGAAGTGGAAGGCCACACAAGCTCACAGAAAGGGACCGCCGGGTGCTACAGCGCGTAGCGTGTAAAAATCAACTTTCCTCGGTTGCAACACTCACTACCAAGTACCAAACTGCCTCTGGAAGCAACATCAACACAAGAACTGTTCGTCGGGAGCTTCATGAAATAGGTTTTCATGGCCGAGCAGCCGCACACAAGTCTAAGATCACCATGCGCAATGCCAAGCATCGGCTGGAGTGGAGTAAAGCTACCCGCCATTAAACTCCGGAGCAGTGGAAACGTGTTCTCTGGAGTGATGGATCACGCTTCACCATCTGGCAGTCCAACGGACTAATCTGTGTTTGGCGGATGCCAGGAGAACGCTACCTGCCCCAATGCATAGTGCTAACTGTAAAGTTTTGGGGAGGAGGAATAATGGTCTGGGGCAGTTTTTCATGGTTTGGGCTAGGCCCCTTAGTTCCAGTGAACGGAAATCTTAACGCTACAGCATGCAATGACATTCTAGACAATTCTGTGCTTCCAACTTTGTGGCAACAGTTTGAGGAAGGCCCTTTCCTGTTTCAGCATGACAATGCCCCTGTGCACAAAGCAAGGTCCATACAGAAATGGTTTGTAGAGATCGGTGTGGAAGAACTTGACTGGCATGCACAGAACCCTGACCTCAACCCCATCGAACATCTTTGGGATGAATTGGAACGCTGACTGTGAGCCAGGCCTAATTGCCCAACATCAACGCCCGACCTCACTAATCCTCTTGTGGCTGAATGGAAGCAAGTCCCCACAGCAATGTTCTAACATCTAGTGGAAAGCCTTCCCAGAAGAGTGCGGTTATAGCAGCAAAGGGAGGACCAACTCCATATTAATGCCCATGATTTTGGAATGAGATGTTCGACGAGCAGGTGTCCACATACTTTTTGTCATGTAGTGTACATGGTACAAATTAAAACACTTGTCTCAGACGGTGTCACGGACGTTGAAGGACGGGTCAGACCAAGGAGCAGCGTGAAATCCATACATGTTTATTTAGTAAAATAAACACACGAACAAAAACAACAAAACGTGAAGTCCTCAGGCTAAACACAATACAAGCCCATACTCAGAACAAGATCCCACAACTAATGATAACAAACAGGCTACTTAAGTATGGTCCCCAATCAGAGACAACGAGCGACAGCTGCCTCTGATTGGGAATCACACCCGGCCAATCATAGAAACACACTACTTAGAATGTGAACATATAAATAATAACATAGATCTCCACACCCTGACTCAACATACAAGAGTCCCATAAGTCAGGGCGTGACAGACGGTTAACTGAAGCACTCTGATGATCTTTGCCTGAGAAATTACATTGTAAGCGAGTGAGACACCTCCTCATATCTAAGAAAGAAGACCTTCAGTCTACTCTATATCATGAAGGGCTAGCCGCTAGTCTGTGTACTCTGTATTTTAGGCAGAGAATGATGTGGTCCTCTGTAGCTCAGCTGGTAGAGCACGGCGCTTGTAACGCCAAGGTAGTGGGTTCAATCCCCGGGACCACCCATACACAAAAATGTATGCACGCGTGACTGTAAGTTGCTTTGGATAAAAGCGTCTGCTAAATGGCATATTATTATTATGTGTGGTAACCTACAGGTAAGTACCAAAATAATGGAAACACTTGAGTAAATGAGGGATACAAAGTATATTGAAAGCAGGTTCTTCCACACAGGTGTGGTTCCTGAGTTAATTAAAGATGCATTATGCAGAAATTGCCCACACCATTTGCTTGTTGCTAAAATTCTAATAGTTTGCCTAATTTCAGTTTGTGGCAAAACAAGCAAGTATAGTAAAAATGTTTTCCACCCCATGAACAAAACACCAAATTATGGAATATCTTGTGGAAGAATGCTGTCGCATCTCTCCAATAGAGTTACAGACACTTGTAGAATCTATGCAGAGGTGCATTGAAGCTGTTCTGTCTCTTGATGGCCCCACGCCCTATTAAAACACTTTATGTTGGTGTTTCCTTTATTTTGACAGTTACCTGTATATTGCCATGAGTTGGGTTGATTTAACCTGGTATTTCATTGTGCACAGCACATTAAAATGAGTATATGAAGCACAGCTGTACCCTGAAGTTCACCTTACATAGCTTATATAAACATCCTGGTATCACAAATTCACTTATTTTCATAAAGTTGGCTGCTCTTGCAATCTCATAGGAAGCGTCTACCAGGGGAGATAACTTGAATAATGTAGAAAGCATGCATACAGTGTAAAAGTTCACAGAAGTGTTCAAGTTTAGAAGATAAGTGTTGTTGAGAAGTGTTTTTTAATGAAAAGTAACAAAATTCTTACATTAATTATATTACAATATGTAAATGTAAAGTAGGAGAGCATCGCATTGTACACACTGCAAAACACACTAAACAGAAGGTCATATTTCACAGGACCAATATTGGTTAATACAGGTTGAGACTGCTACCTAGTGGTAAAAAATAAGCCATGGCAAAATACAGAGGACCCTCTCCATTTTGACTGTAATCAATATGGTAACAATGATTTATGTTGTACAGACAAAAAAAAAAAGATGTAATATTTCCAAGTGCAGTTCACAATACAGTGAAATATGACTTACACTTAAGCATACAGGCTGTGTAAAAATGAGTCAACAACATTAAAGATTCACTCCAGGATCTTAAGCACAACAAATTAGTAACCACAGGAGGTTGGTGGCACCTTAATTGGGGAGAACGGGCTCGTGGTAATGTCTGGAGCGGAATTGGTGGAACGGTATCAAATACATGCCATTCCATTTACTCCGTTCTGGACATTATTATGAGCCATTCGCCCCTCAGCAGCCTCCTATGTTTGTAACATATAGTAAGAATTGGAACTGCAACAAAAGAAATGAGCACCTCCTTCAAAACTACTGAAATTATACAAAAGTTGGAGAGTGCATCTTTAAGTTCCAACTGCTTGCATATTTACAAGTGGGATATCACCTTTGTTATCTTTGGCTATGTTCTTTTTGATCTTCCTGTGCTTAAGAATCTTGGACATGAGCTTCTCATAGAACCATTCTATGTCCTGTGTGTCCTCCGGCCACTTCTGGACAAAGGTCCTAATGGCTTCACATTTCATCAGTCTGTAATGGGGGACTTTCCCCACGATCACCATGAAAATCTCTGTGCTCCTCCAGCATCCTGCTCTGAGTCAGGCCTCCAGGCACCAGCCGTCCTTAAGGAACTCTTTAGACACGATACACACTGTCTTCCTGCTCCCCCATATGGCATCCCTGATGTTGGACAGGTGATCTTCACCTGGGATGACGTTTCTGGCCTCGAAGCAGCAGCTCTGCCAACTGAGAGTCCAGCCTCTTCAACAGGGCAGTTTCTACCCACTTGTAGTCGTTGTTGCTGAAGCATAAGTAAGCGTTGTACGGGGGCCCATCAGCAAGAGGATTCTTCCTAGGGCCCTCCAGGATCCTGGCGATCACCTTTTTGTAAACTTTGAAGAAGTATTCACGGAGACGGTCTAAAACGATCATTCCGACAATGATCAGGACGATGAGGGCTGAGCAGACGACGAAGAGCGAGAGCCTCAGCTCCTGAACCAGCCCCTCGTCATCCTCCTCACACGATATGACTGTGCTGTAATTCAACAGGCTGACGCCATGGAGATTTGAGGGAAAATCACAGCTGAATTCAACCACGCCAGGGTCTGGAAAAGTCACTTTAGTCCCGTTGAGCCATGTCAGAAAGTCCTCTAGGCCGCTGTCACAGTGGAATCGTTTCCTATACAGGTTGATCTAGCTGAGAGACTGGAACGCCGCTGGGTCAGGAGAGGCCAGGAAATTGTAAGAGAGGTCAAGTGTTTTGAGACTCTCTGGGAAAATGTCTGGTTGGAGGTATGTGAGAGAGTTGAAGTGGAGATCCATCTGGGAGAGCCTGCAGGGAGTTCAAGCTTAGATCCCGACTAAAAAGGTTGCCAAGATTTTCAAAAACATGCAAACACTCTCCCCGTGCCCATATCACCTGCAAGGCGATGTTCCTTAGCTCAAGCAGCTTTAGAGAGTTCACAGCTGGCACTGAAATATTATTGTTAAGGGTGCACCACTTTATGAAGTTGTTACCATACCAGAGAAGCTTAATGTGCATTAATTTAGCTAAAACAATGTATACATCCTCTAAATTAGTTTACCTGTTGTTTTGAATATTAAGTATGATCATACTATCAGCAAAGCCAGCGAGGCCCTTTAAGGATGTGATCTTATTATCAGCCAAACAAAGAAGTTGGATGTTTGGGAGTGGTGCAAGGTAACCATCTGTACCTAGAGTTTTCTGTAAGATCAAGGACTTGTAGGTGTGGAAGTCCTGTAAATGCCTGATATCCCAATGCACCAATATGATTGTAAGATAAATCTAGTTCTAAAATATTGGGTAGATTTTCAAATGTGTAAGAATAGATTTCCCCTATAAGATTGTGTGACAGGTTCAGCCGTTATAGATTTTCAGGCCCAAAAAACACACCCCTGTCAATCTTGTTCGTTTTATTTTGGGCTATTGTTATGTCCTGTACCTCTCTCAGTGGACTGAATACTGTTATTGCAAAGTAAATATAAAGCATTTGGACAAATCTAGAATCTTGACGGCACTATTCTTGAGGCCCTCAAATGTTTGCCTGTCTGGGTCTTTGACGTGGCTGAAACTAAATTATTTTCCCATGGTGCTGTGTTCCAGAATAAGATGGTGAATTTTGGTCCCTCGGATTGTATTGAAAAACTGTTTTGCCTTGTCCACATTGAATCCATTGGACGATAAGTCAAGTATCTCCATGGACATGTTCCGTAAGGGATTTCTGCATATTTTCCAGTCAAAGCCATACTGAGTCATGCTATTCAGTTGGATGCTGCTCAAGTCAAGGAGCCGAAATTGTTTGCCTTGAAAGCCAAGCAAATCTTCCTCACATATGCATGTCATCCTGTTTAGGGTAACATTTAGCTCTTGGAAATCTATCATGTTCACAAAGAACAGTGCAGGTTGGATTATTTTCATGTGGTTACCATACAGATCTAGCATTTCCAAGGAGACCAGGGGTCTGAGATAGTCGCCCTGTAATACAGTTTCAGTCAGGTCACAATTATATAAAGAGAGAGTTCTCAGGTTAGACAGTCCCACAAACCCATATTGTTCATTCTGTAAACGTGAGTTATGTCCTAAATAGAGCTTTACCAAGTTCGCCAGCCTTTGAAACGTGTTAGTTCTTATAATAAGCCCATTTATTCATTGCCAACTGAGGTCCAGTTCCTTTAACCCTTCAAGCCCAGAGAAGGATGTCTCATTGATCTCACTGATGTAGTTTACACTCATATACACAAAGGTAATGTATGGAGGCAGCAGAGAGACCGGATGTAGAGACTGTGGTGCAAGCTGCTATAGAGCCAAATAGTGGGGATCTTGGGGTGCATTTCACCACCTGCAGGTATACTCCAAAGATAGCCAGCAGTATAAGGTTCCTCATCATCCTCCCCTGACAGAAAGTAGAAAATAATGCAAATTATTAAAAGATCATTTAAATGATTGTTATGACATAACAGGGCTACAGTCCATAAATTCATTCGATGGATATATCAGTCTTGGAGTATCCGCTTCAGATGAGACATCCTTGGCTATAGGGAATTCACATTTAACTGTCTCTTTGCATTGAAAGATCCATAGTCCACTGGCTTTGACCCAACCTGATAATGAAAATCCTTTATTTGTGTGCTGAGTACACAGCCTTACTCTAGTCTGGTGTCACAAGGCTTACATAGGGATGTTTGTATTATATGAATGAATCACTTCTACCCCCAAGTGTGTAAAACAATGAGAGTGCCTCTGGCAATTTAATTATGGCCTCGTTTGATGTGGCTGAACAATTGTCATGATACCTATTATGCGGCCAGTAAAATTGTTTTAAAGGGGCAATCTGGAATTCAAAAACTCTGACACTCTTCTGGCAAACAACTGAGGGATGGGGCTGGAGAAATGTAACCACTCTCAAATAGATGGTACTATGGATGCAAGGACTGACCATCCATGACATCATAATTACAGTTTTAACCATGTTTTGAAGCTATAGTGTTTGTTTACAGTTAAATATTTTACAAACAATGGAGTAAAACAAGCTTCTATTTTGGGTTCTGATGGGGTAAGACAGAACTAAGCTCTTGAGTAATTTATAAAATACAGTATGTTCTTCAAGAATCAGAAAATGGATGTAGGTGTCACGGATCCCCCAGGTACTGTTGCATTCACCAGCTCCGGAGGTCTACGTCACCGGCCTTCTAGGTGTCACTGACCTGGATCATTACCACCAACCCCGGACTGTCTTGTCTCATTACGCACACCTGGTTCCCATTCCCCCTGATTAGTATGTGTATATATGTGCCTTCTGTTCTCCATTGTCCTTGTCGATTATTGTCCCATGTCCGTTGGTCTCGTGAGTACCTATGCGATGTTGTATCAGCGTTCGTGCTACGTGTTACTGTACATTGTATTATGGTTTACATATGTTGGAAATTGTTTAGTGGACTATGAGGTGGAACTGAGTTAATCATCAACATATAGTTAACATTCTTTGTGGCTAACTGAATTGGGTCATTTCACTGTGTGTGTGGGTAAAAGAGGGAAGCTGACCCAGGGTCAAATTGCTTGCTCTTACTTAGATCCATGGTTGTCTTATCATATCAAAGGTTGAAACTGGCTTGGGCCTTTTTTTTCTATCTTCAAACACAGTGAAAAGAGCTGGGGTTGAACGTAGTTTAAACTAAACATGAGTGTTCTTGCAAGATAAGGATTGATTGATTGTAGTAGTATGTGATTCTGAACTTAATGAAAGTCGGATTTAGCTGACCTCCGAGACAAAGGTAGTGGGCGGGGTGATAAAGAGCGGGAAACTGAAGAGGGAGGGATTGGAACCTAGGGTGGTGGAAAGGAGACTATATAGGTAGGAGGGAGAGAGAGAGAGGGGGCGAATCTGCAGATTGGCCTGGCTTTGTTGACATTATAATAAAGTCATTCTTAATCCCACAAACACTCTGGAAGGACTGATTTGTAATAAAGTATAGTGGTTATTTTCCACAACACATACCGTGTAATTGTGCACTTGTTATTACGGGTCTCGTCCCGTGTTTTATTTAGAGGTTTACACCTCGCTCTTTTGTTTGGGTTACATCCCTGTGATATGTGTTTGTTTTGGACTTTGTCCACGTCGTTTTTCATGACGTACCTTATGTTGGGTAGTGAAATAAAAAAAAACGATTACGTATTCCTGTGCCTGTCTTCTATCATTATACAATGTGATAGTAAACCTACCATTCCCAGTTTCCCCCTTTTAAATGTACTTAATGAGGCTACAATTATTTGACATTTAATAAAGTTGTCATCTATAGAACTGAATACTTATGTAAATAAGGTATTTCTGTTTTTTATTTATATACATTTGCATTTTTTTTTTCGCTTTGTCATTATGGGATATTGTGTGTAGATTGTGGAATTTTTATTTAAACAAAATGTGGAAAAAGTGAAGGGGTCTGAATACTTTCCGAATGCACTGTATATACAAACCCACACACGTTCACATACACTACATACGCACACACAACACGCGCATACCGACACAACACAAAAACACATAAATACACATTAATCACATATCCGCACACACACACACACACTTTTGAACTCATTTTCTGCTGCTACTCAGTTCTTTATTTTACTCGTATTATCTATCCTGATGCCATCACTTTACCCTGCCTTCATATACATACAGTGGGGGGAAAAAAGTATTTAGTCAGCCACCAATTGTGCAAGTTCTCCCACTTAAAAAGAAGAGAGAGGCCTGTAATTTTCATCATAGGTACACGTCAACTATGACAGACAAATTGAGAAAAAAAAATCACATTGTAGATTTTTAATGAATACATTTGCAAATTATGGTGGAAAATAAGTATTTGGTCACCTACAAACAAGCAAGATTTCTGGCTCTCACAGACCTGTAACTTCTTCTTTAAGAGGCTCCTCTGTCCTCCACTCGTTACCTGTATTAATGGCACCTGTTTGAACTTGTTATCAGTATAAAAGACACCTGTCCACAACCTCAAACAGTCACACTCCAAACTCCACTATGGCCAATACCAAAGAGCTGTCAAAGGACACCAGAAACAAAATTGTAGACCTGCACCAGGCTGGGAAGACTGAATCTGCAATAGGTAAGCAGCTTGGTTTGAAGAAATGAACTGTGGGAGCAATTATTAGGAAATGGAAGATATACAAGACCACTGATAATCTCCCTCGATCTGGGGCTCCACGCAAGATCTCACCCTGTGGGGTCAAAATGATCACAAGAATGGTGAGCAAAAATCCCAGAACCACACGGGGGGACCTAGTGAATGACCTGCAGAGAGCTGGGACCAAAGTAACAAAGCCTACCATCAGTAACACACTACACCGCCAGGGACTCAAATTCTGCAGTGCGAGACGTGTCCCCCTGCTTAAGCCAGTACATGTCCAGGCCCGTCTGAAGTTTGCTAAAGTGCATTTGGATGATCCAGAAGAGGATTGGGAGAATGTCATATGGTCAGATGGAACCAAAATAGAACTTTTTGGTAAAAACCAAACTCGTCGTGTTTGGAGGACAAAGAATGCTGAGTTGCATCCAAAGAACACCATACCTACTGTGAAGCATGGGGGTGGAAACATCATGATTTGGGGCTGTTTTTCTGCAAAGGGACCAGGACGACTGATCCGTGTAAAGGAAAGAATGAATGGGGCCATGTATCATGAGATTTTGAGTGAAAACCTCCTTCCATCAGCAAGGGCATTGAAGATGAAACGTGGCTGGGTCTTTCAGCATGACAATGATCCCAAACACACCGCCCGGGCAACGAAGGAGTGGCTTCGTAAGAAGCATTTCAAGGTCCTGGAGTGGCCTAGCCAGTCTCCAGATCTCAACCCCATAGAAAATCTTTGGAGGGAGTTGAAAGTCAGTGTTGCCCAGCGACAGCCCCAAAATGTCACTGCTCTAGAGGAGATCTGCATGGAGGAATGGGCCAAAATACCAGCAACAGTGTATGAAAACCTTGTGAAGACTTACTGAAAACGTTTGACCTGTGTCATTGCCAACAAAGGGTATATAACAAAGTATTGAGAAACTTTTGTTATTGACCAAATACTTATTTTCCACCATAATTTGCAAATGAATTCATTAAAAATCCTACAATGTGATTTTCTGGATTTATTTTTCTCATTTTGTCTGTCATAGTTGACTAGTACCTATGATGAAAATTACAGGCCTCTCTCATCTTTTTAAGTGGGAGAACTTGCACAATTGGTGGCTGACTAAATACTTTTTTTCCCCACTGTATCTGCCTCAATTACCTCGTACCTCTGCACGTTGATCTGGTACTGGTACTCCCTGTATATAGCTCCATTCTTGTGTATTTAATTTTTTTCCTCGTGTTACTATTTTATTTTTTAACTTAGCATTGTTGGGAAGGGCTCTTAAGCAAACATTTCATGGTAAAGTCTACACCAGTTGTATTCTGCGCATGTGACAAATACAATTTGATTTGATTCCAATAATAC